GGGAAAGAAACAAGTACTATTTCAGAACTTTTCAAGCGCAGGTAGATGACCTGTCATGATAGAAAAAGTCTGAGCTCTACCCAAAGTTCCCACATGGACTTTTAACTTTTTACTTTCAGTTTGCATGCACTTATTCTTCAATTCCAGCAGACTTATGTATTTCAACTGCATCAATTAAAAAACCTAAGTAAATGGAAAAATAATAATCATTAAAAAAAGTCAAGCTCATATTACACACAGTCCTGCAAACAAAAAGCTGACCTTCCCACTTACGAAACACATCAAAATATTAGGAATAGCTGCTATCCACAGAGGCTGCAAATGCTTTGCATCTAAATTCACATTTCCTTCTGAACAGTTTTTCAGAGCATCTCATTACCTGGGATCACAGCTTATATTCAAAGCAGAACTCAGTGATACTGAGAACCCTGCACTCACTATGGGCCACCTAGGATTTCCTTTTCTTCAGCTGTTAACTGAAGCGGATCCAGCAGCTTCAGCCCTTGGGACAGAGGAGAATGAGCAGAGCAAGCCTTTTCGTCCTCGATACTAGCTCAGGGAATAAGTGGATGTATAGGTCACACACCATTAAGGAGAACCCTTCTCTCAGGCATTTCATGTACTCAAAGTCTGGGCCACAGGAGATTTTCTTACCCAAGCACTTCTGCAGCTTCATTAGAAGTGACAACATTTGCAGACTAAAAATGAATCTAAAACTGCTGTTAAAAAAATAAAAACCCTGACTATTTCAGAGTCATCAATTAGGTGAAATAAAAACTAGTTGTGTGAATAGATCAAAAACCAGTCACATCAGCAGAAAGCCCAAGAAAACGATGTATTGTACAGTCCTGCGGGAGCACTGTCACTGTGCCACAGCTCCTCAAACAGTTATTTCAGAATCATTCTCAGAAAACAACGTATAATTTTTAAGTCCTGCAATAGCCCAATCCTGGGACAGGTGAATAGAGAAAATTATTCTGTCCCTTTAAGGCCAAACTATCAGAAATGCAGTAAAGAGAATCTGCTGTAGCCACAAGCAGTCCTGACATATTGGCACAGGTTCACTTGAAAGCAAGAACCAAGGAAAAACCATTCTGAAGTTGCCGAGGGCTGTCCCTTAATTGTAGCTTGATTTCACATCCTTTATTTTTTTTTAAATCACCATACAGGAGGTTAAAAATGCTGCCTTGATTTCACAAAAGAATGTATGCATGAATGTGTACTTTGAATGCTGCGGTGATCATTTCACAGAGGTTTTCATTCCGATCAGAAGTTTATTGTAACATCACCCAGAATACAAGCATTGGTATCCACCATTAGTAAATGGCCAGATTAGATTAATACACTTCCATTTCATTCATCATCACTTACAATCCATACAGCAGACTTTCACTTGAAAGTAACTGTAGTCAGGTGCAATAAAAATCTGACTCATGCATTCAATGATTGCCTTTTTTAAAAGAGAAAAAAAAATGGCAAGGAGGGCAAAGAAAGCAAGCAATCCCATAAACCAAAAGCACTTGCAAGTAGAGGTTTTCCACCTAAATGGAAATGAACATAGATAAGACTGCATCACCTAGATGTGCTGAGCCAAGACAATCATATTCCAAAAAGCACTGATTTGCATGTTGAGATTTGCATTTTCAGTAAGTGCACTACGTAATGCAGTTGGGTGGGAGCCAGACTACCAGTTATTAAGCTTAAAAGGATGAAAACCACTTCTGAGACTCCAAGAAGGAAAACTCTAATAGCCACATGCTTCAGACCCATTTTTGATGAGTCAAAGTAATACGATACCCAAATAGCTCCTGTCCCTATTGTCACCAATATTATTACTTGCTCTGTGTCCCTGCCTCAGGTCTAAAAGGAATCACTGCTACCTAGTAAGAGTTCCTGACTCCTGGTTTCAGACAGGAAAGCTAACAAATGCCAGCTAGAATTTCCCCAAAATAATCTGATAACAAAAATATCATGAGAGGATTGTGGCAGCTGACTTTATTTCTGTTTTGCACCAGACTACAGCACCATGTGCTCCTCCCCAAACAAATCGCTTCCTATTTCACACTGGTCACCAGCCAAGTCAAAGCGACCACCATTACACCACGATGAACTGTGAGCCTGTTTCCTTCCCTCCTACTCAACCCCAAAATGGTTAAAATATCCTGACTCACTTACACAAAACAAAACCAAGGAAGGGATGGGATCAGTGAGAACTTACCTGAAAAATTCCGAGACACAAGCATCGTTGTGAGGATTGCACCCTGTGGGGAAGAGAAAGCAGGGATAACAAACAGCGTCACCCACTTCAGAAAGGGTCTGGGCTGACCCGTGGAGAACACGGTGAGTCAGATGCCAAAGCAAAGGTATCCCAGTGCTACCCTGGAAAGTCCTAGTGTACCCAGGATTCCCACACGTGGCTGCTGGACCTGACATGGGACTGCTCGAAGTCCTGCCTTTCTAGAGCGGCAGCTAGAGGCCAGGCAGGATAGCCTAGGAAATCTACAATGGCACTAAGAGTTATGTCTAGACACATAGTTGCTTCCTAACTTTCAAATAGCTGATAGCTGCTCCATGCACAGGCCAGAGGCTTTGCCTGAGCTACAGGCAACTGATACACTGTTACTGGGAGGCAGAGAGCGATCAGAACTAAAAACCCCAGAATTTAAGAACTAGTTGAGGTATTTCAACTCTCTTGCAGGAAGTAGAAGGGGTGATTATGTAGCAGAAGAGGCATGGGAAACTTACAGCTTCAGAGAAAGAAACTACCCAGCTCCTCAATGCACTTCTTTAGTACCCTGCACTGGAGGACCACGTAAGGTGACATTAGTGAGCTAATCATGAAAAAATATTGTTGCTGGGAAGGCATTAACCTCAAATTCAGAGGATTAAAAACAAACTTAAGGCAAACTAGCATATACTTACCTTTAGCTTCCTTCTAGCATTGAACTTTCTCAGGCATTCCACAGTCTCCTGCCTGTGCATCATCGAAGCGACAGTGGATCGTTGCTGAAAAACAGAAACAGAAAAAGATCAAGAACATACCCTAACCAAATCAGGCAGAGGCATTCTCTCCACCTGCACACAACCATGACATGCAAGCTGACATCGCCAAGCCTCTCACCACTGCATGGCTGCAAAACACTGCAACCAGTTCATAACTTAAGAACTTCCCTATACAGCAAGACATGTTAAGCCAAGGTTGGCTATTACAGGACTGTGCCCAAGAAACTCTATGACTGAGGTACAGGTGAGAATCAATGCTCCCTGTCTCTCAGGCACACAGATCAAGACAGTAAGGAGACAAAGTCAAATGAACCCATGGGGGCCTGAGTTAGAGGCACTACAGAAAATATCTGGGTTGCATTAGTTACAGCTCTAAGGGAAAATTCCAAGCAGTAAGTGAATACTAGTGAGCGGTAGCCTTCCTGGACGTGGCAACTCCCTGACTGTAAGTACTAGACTAGCAGAGGCCTGGGCACCTTTGCATTAGTTTTGCAGAAATAGATTTTCAGTGTGTAAGAGGAAAGATCATATATCTCTATTGTACCGATCAAAAACCTGAGCATAACCTCTAGCCAGTGATGCACACATGTCACCCACAGTAGACTGGGATCCCATCAGATGCAAAAAGAGATCTTCCCCGAAGTGTTGCCAGTCATTGAGAGCACATGAGGAAACCAGAGACTGATGCTGCCAGGCATTTAGAGCACATGAGGAAACCAGAGACTAATGCCAAAGTAGCCGTTGCTCTTGCACAGAGCCACAAGCCTGAATTCCCTTGACAAGGACAGTGGGTGAGTGACTAACTTAGCAGATCAGTGTGTACAAACCCTCCATTACCTTTCTCCTGCTTGGAAAAAATTCTGCAATACCCAAAAGAAGTGTAAACCATGCTCATATTCAGCTAGTTTCATGGGAAGTTTCTGCTTGATCCTGCCAGCAAAGCTAGTCACCTGCTGCAGCACACACAGCAGCGTGGAGGGAGAATGCAGCTAAACTGTCCTCTTTAACAACTTTGATGGTCACTGTTCATTCAGCCTCCTTAGGAGTGACAGTGATGTCCAGTTGTTCAGCATGGGCTTAAAAGAGTCAGGACGTACTTCAGAAGTTCAGCGATGCTAAGAAACTCAGTCTCAGATAAACTGTTAAGATTTCCTACCACATTTACTTCAGAGGAGCAATCCATCTCCAGAAAGAAAACGTATGTTGCACACACAGAGACTGCAGAGCAAATGGAAACAACAGACTCAACAGGAGGCAGTTTGGGCGAGAGGCTGAAATGGCTGTGAAGTGAAATCAAACTCCCTGTAACTCAGAGAAGGAAAGGCCCCCTTGAACCATTCTATATTCTGTTGTCACAGGGAGCGAGCTATTGCAATACATGCAGCTTTGGTTACAGGCATTGGGACAAAAGTTAACTATACAAGAACTGCTATTGATTACAAGCATGCAAAGAGAAAGAAAAACAACAGAGATGCAAATCTCAGCTAGTGTGAAGTTCCGACTTCGAAGAAACTTTAATCACTTAACACACTACACTCCTGTTCCACAGATGTTCACACAAGTAAGTTTAAATTGCTAATTTGTTGTTTTGTGGCAGAAGGAAAACACCACCACAGTTTCTTAAGAAAAAATGAGCGAAGGAACACACTAGACACATCCCAGAAAGCAGAAGTATACTATGGTATTACAAGAGCATCTGGTTAGACTTAGGTGGAACTATTTCATCCTGCAGAGATAAAAGTGCACCATTGCTGCCCTCCCCTATGATCACTCCCAGCTGCATTCTGGGATTTCCTTGCCAACTTTGCAAAAGATGAAAAATACTCATCTGTGGGGTCTGGCAAGGCAGAAACTACATACACAGAACAGCAAAAGATTTTTCGCTGATTTCAGGTTTACAGCCAGTTAAGCTGCAGCAGAGCAGAAATGTTCCAACATTGCAAAGATGCCATGCAATAAACTAAAGTAGAGATGAAGAACAAAATAATCCTAAAATATTTTGTCTGATGCCAAACTCCATCTGGCATTTTAGGACAATACAGATTGCAATAGGAGATGTGGGGAAAACCAGAAACTATAGACATTCACAAAACTTCTAAAAGAATAAGGGATTTTTTTGTTTCCTACAGTGACAATAAAAGCACCACAGCATGACAAAGTTGGCTTGCTGAAGGTCAGCCTCCAAAAAAATTACTTTTTGAAATATTTAAAATATTCTGGGCTCCTCTGCAGCTAAGTCTTCTTGACATGTCAGTTCAGGGTAAACCACAAATCAATCCATAATAGAGGAAAACACTTACGCAGACCCATGGATGTTTGAGAGCCTGGTCAGCTGTGATGCGCTTTGCTGGGTTTATTGTCAGCATCTGGTTGATCAAATTCTTTGCTTCGGGAGTCACAGTGTCCCACTCAGGTGATGGGAACTGAAACAGGAAAAAGGAACAGATGATGAACTGAAAATATCTTCTACTAGCAGAAGAGATTCTCCCTCCTACACAGCTGAATTCCAGCTCTTGCCTTTTTTGATACCAGGGCTAACATACTTGCAAAAAACATCAATTTTTGTGAAAATCCATGCTGACCGAAAATCGTACAGTTTCCAGCAAATGAATGGTACCAGACAGCAGGACACACCTGTACCATTCACCAGACACAAGCAGGAAGATTAACAGCTTAAAAGCCTTTTAGGAATCACTCAGACCTTTGAATTTCTTTCACACTCAGCAGTCAAAAAAGTAAACTCGCGGATCTTTTTAACCGAGTTCTGACATGAAAAACACAAGCACTATCTTTTTTACCCCACCTTGCTCTTTCTCCAGCATGCTAAAAAGCTGTAACAGCATATGCGAAATCACAAACACTTAACTACAGCAAAACCTCACGAAAGCGAAAACCACTGAGAACATCCCATCAGGTATACTTTCCCCAACATAAAGCACAATGTCCTGGAACAATACCAGTCACTTAGGTACAGCAACCCACCAGCAAGTTGTTAGCAAGCATCTACCATACCAGAAACCATTACTTGGGGAGCAAGAAAGATGTAATAGTGGACGGGAATACAAAGGCATGGAAACAAAGAAAAGAATCCCAAGTATTTCAGTTGCTGATCATCCATGAGGGGTAACTGCTCTCTCCTATAACTCCAGTAATGATGAAGATGAGATATTTATGCCATTCTCCAGATGCCTGCATGTAGTATAGATGACAGCATGCTGAGATTAAATGCAGTACATCTCACTCCTACGAATCTACTGTACAAATACAGGTGCACTTGAGAACACGAAGATAAATGTGCTGGTGGGATAAAAGCCCCCTGTCTTTAAGCGGGGGGGAAGACTGATTTACTCTGATTTCCTTACAGCACTACAACATTTAGAAAAAGTTTATCCCATCTCTTTTCTCCTGCATTTTGTGCTTTGCTCAGTTGGATCATAAAAATACACGCACCATATTTGATTTGCATATAATCTTATTTCTGCATTCTCAGGCATCAGCAAGGCATTATACAATCTGTTCTGCAAACACTGCAAGAGACTACTCAAAAATTACGATACTGAGCTTTCAGCCAGGTCACCTTCCCCCCACCCAAACTCTGAAGTATTCATGAGAATGCCTTGCAAACCCAACAGCACGAAGTCCAATCCACAGCTGCCACTTCCTCTATGGTCAAGAGATAACAACAGACCAGTCCAGTGCATACTCAGTGCCGGGGTAATGACACCAGGGGCAGGTACGCCAGTAAAACTTGAGCTGTTTTCTACCAGGCAAAACAGGGGAGAATCTACTGGAACTTGTTCATTATAGGTAAGAATTCAAAAACAGCAGGTAGATAGGAGGCGTCAGGCACTTCACTCCTCATGACTTACAGAAAGAGTTACACATTTAACCCCTGAAGTGCTTTGAAAATCCCCATTGATATAATTAGTGCAAAACCACTTCAAATGAGAACAAGCAACACAGAAACAACAGGGGCAGGAAGGCAAGAGAAGAACACAGGTCCATTTAAGGCTATCAAGTACAAAGACATCACTTTCCTTTCACTCAGGAAGCCACTGAGCCAGGACATGGGGTTAGGCAGACCTTTGTTCACACCAGTATAGCTGCTCTCATGGTCTCAGGCACAGAAGCTGGGAGGTACTGGGGTCCAGCAGAACCCTCGCTTTTTTTTCTTTTTTTTTTCCCCTTAATAGATACCACAAGACAGCCTACAAAATGAACTCTCCAACTTCCTCTTGATATTCATGCCCACAGGCTTTGAGCTAGGATTTCCAGGAGTTCCTTCTTCCCTCCTCAGCGTCTCCTTACATGGAAGAAGTTATGTCAAACATTCAAGCTGTGATACTCAAACCACATTTTACACCACCTCGGCTCCCCAGTTCTAACCTCCTTGCTATTCCTCTCCTTCAGGTACCTTTTTACACCTCAGTTTTGCTGTGCTCTGAGAACAGTTTCATGAACTGCTTGACTTTTTACCAGAGCCTCCAACCCACCACGCTGATCCGCACCACAAAGCCATCCCTCCAAAGGCCCCTGCCATTCAGTCTTCTCACTGGGCTCCATGCTTTCCACGGCTGGAAGAAATTCCACTATAGCACTGAGGAGACCAGAGGCCATAATTTAAGCTATTATTGTATGGAATACTTCCCCATACTTTTAATTAGGCCTTGATAAAGATAGGCTTCTTCATTCTACCTTCCCTCTGCTCCCTTGAAAAGCATTGGCTACGTCTGCAGCACTTTATGGTAAATGCACTAGAAGACACCATTTTGCACCATCTGCGTTTCCAGCTCTGCATTTCCCTAGTGACCAGCAATGTCTTGGTGCCCACTGTGATGCTTTCCCCATATCCTTTCGGTAACCCCAAACAGGACTGTATCCCAGGCAGTGAAGACAAGGAGGTGTATGAACACGCCAAACATCACTTTGCACAGTAGCTTGGGGCCTGCTGCTGGACACAAAGTAAGATAGTGCCATGTTTTGGATGGCTTCTACACCCATGCAGGTACTCAGCAAGAAAGTGCCCTTACGTCATAGGCTCCGGCTTTGATCTGCTGATAGAGTTTGTGCTGATCTTCATCCCAAAAGGGAGGGTACCCCACTAGTAATATGTACAGAATCACTCCTGGGAGGGAGAGACACAGATACACTATGGTTAGGCTAATACGCCAATTATTCCTTCAGCCCCTCTTCCTTCCCTCTTGACAGTCCCCAAGGCAATGATTGCTCTATATCTTCATTTGCCACCATATTTAGCCTTCCAAGGTAGAAAAAGACAGTACAAACAT